TCGTAGACATTGTGAATACAATAAACTTTTCATACGTCATAATCCACTACACACTTTCTTACTTTTTAATAATTTTTCCTGACATTTTCTCGAGCATCTACTACGCGTTCGTGATGAAAAAGATCAAAAATTAAATTTTTAATTGTCTTCTATTTTATTTTTTGGTCGTCATGTTCATTGTTTTTTGAAAGTTTAGAAGGTATATGTATACTTATACTTATGTATATGCATTGTGTGTAAGAAATCATTTACGTAAACTTAGCAACTGGATACTGAACACATGAGGAAAAAATATTTTGATTTGTTACCGAACAATTCGAAAGGGCCTGAATGTAGTACGGCAGGCGTAACGAGTCTCCATTGTGTTCATGAAAAACGGTTGAAGCTGATCTGATGTTATAATACAATACATGCATTGTATGAGGCCCAGAAGCCTACAACCAAACGATTGTACGGTTGTATCGATTGTTCATTTCATTGTAAGTGGTTTGTAAATGCGGTGCATTCAAAGTGGGTAACTAGGTACTACTAAAATGAGAAGCAGTGATTTTAAGTAGGTTGATATTAATTACTTTATTAACTTAAAAATGTATAGATGGGAATGGATCACCAATACTATTAGATATAGGCTGTCAATGCCTGTCATACACTGACATACGGTGATGGAAAAGATTGTGAGAAAAGCTGGGCCTATCGGTTTTATTTATAAGTTTGGAATCGCCAATCTGCCTTGTGTTTAATACCCACAGGTTCATTGTTCAACTGTGGTCATGCCATCTCTACCGTTTCTCAAATAATATTTCTGCTACTTCTATATTTAAACCTCTTTAATTTTTCACTTATTGCTATATTATTACCATCTTCCCATGTTCACTATATTGCCGGTGTTCATAAGACTTGTTTGATTGCCTTTAAATCTTAACTTAAACTTTGAATGTTAGCATCATCATCATCATCATCATCATCAGCATCATCAGCTTATAAGTGTTCATTACTAAGCAGAGGCCTCTTCTTCACATGGAAAATGATCAAGCATCAATCAACACGCTTGCTCAAGGCGGATTGGCTATTTTATAAACGTACAAAATAGAAATTATAAGTCAGGTTCAGGTTTCATCACGATATTTTCCTTCACTTTAAATAAACTTAGACAGTTCATATACCTTGGACAAAGTCACATTGGATTTTGCCAGGTTTCCGCGCCCCATGCATGAGAAGCTAGCGCCTTAACTTGCTTTAAATTCCATAAAATCATCTTTTTATGTAAAAACAATTACGGAATCTGTAATCTAGAACATGCTAATAGTTTTTGTAATTAAACCAATTTTTGAATCGAGGTTATAAATTAACGACTTTTGTTTTGTTAAGGCATTTTATAAGATTTTCCATAGACTAAATTAATATTTAGTTAATTTCCAGAAATCGTGTAATTTTTTTTTTGCTCAATCTGTAGCATTTCTTAAAACTTTTCACGCCATAAAGCTTTTAGAAAAAAATCACGTTTCTTTTGATTGTGGAAGTGAAAATGGTGGCACATACATGTGTTTTCTAGGTTTTTCGAACAAATTGTTCACACAGAACATTGTTGCTTAGGTAAGTCGCCTTAGATAGGCATAATTATTAGACTGTGATCTTATTCCACGTGTCTGTTAGGTAGTATATGATTTCAGATTCGATCCATTACCAGTGAATATACATTCAAAAGTGTCTACATAAGCATATGATATAGGAAACAACTAATTTTATGTCATACTCCTATTCAAAGTAGGTGCATATTAGATTGCCTAGTTTCTTTGCATAAAAATCAATTGTTGTTTTTAAAGACAAAGTATGTAATTAAAGTGATTTGGATAGGAATATGATAAAATGTGATAGTGAAAAAAATAAATAAACTGTAAGTACATAGAATTCATTTGTTTTTATAAAGATTTGTTCGTATTTAAGTATTCTTCAAATATACGTAGCCCCAATGGAAGTTTGGCTTATGGGAAAAACATTTTTCGTTGACAGTAAGAATCCATGGCTTTGTACACTAAATACCTTGTTGTCCTTTTAAAAACCTGGGGGCTGAGTATGTTTATATATATTTTAACTAATAGTTAGGTACTTTTCTTGTTTCCAATGTTATGTTAAAGTTTTCTTACAGTAAGTCGTAATTTGTTTGAACATTAATTTAAACACATTATTCGTTACGATTATAGAGAATTTAGTTCTCTATGGTTACGATACAATTCTTTGTTCCTTTTTTAAACACTTTTAAAATATGCGGGATTCATTAAAATTTGTTTAATTTGGCTCTTTCAATTAAATAACTTTACTGCAGTCTGTCAAATTTCTCGCTTGCACTTCGATATTTTTAGAGTGTATTCCTCAATCCTCAGCACTGCCTCATTTTCCTGTAACCATTGGTTACGTAAAGTACTTATTTTCTGATAAAGTATTTAGCTATGTAAGATGTATTTTCTATTTTATGTGTGATAAATTTTCTTTGCAATAGAATTTATAAATTATTTTACATATCTAGGTACGACTTACTCACGAAACCGATCGAAATAGATCGACTAATTTCGAGCGACGGTATTGATGTCTAAATAGATACCTGATAGGTGCACTACAATGACAAAGACATCATCCAATTTGGTCTCAAACACTGTTTATTGGCATAGTTTTTTTTATTGGCAGACTAGCTTCTGTCAACGACTTCATCCGTACTATCAGGGTAAAAATAGTCTTTATTTTATAATAGCTTTCGCCCGCGACTTCGTTCGCGTGGAAAAGTGACTTCTTGCAGATTTTTACCATAAAAATCCAAACTTAACAGAAATCTGTTCAGTAGTTTAGGCATGAAGAAAGGAAAGATAGACAGACAGAGTTACTTTCAAAATTATAATATTAGTTTGGATTGGATTTGGATAGTTTGGATTAATAACTTTAAGACAGATACGTTTTGTAGATTCATTATAAGTACATCTATTTAATACAAACTTTCGTGTTTACATTATTGATTGGATGAGGGACGTTACCTATAATATTCTTTACTCTCTCAATACAAACGCGTGGTGGTAATTTTTAACTTGGTTATTCTACCTGTAAGTATTTTATTAGTCAATTTATTTGTCAGATATTTCACTTTTAGTAATTAAACACTGTTACAGATAACGTGAGAGCGCAATCCATAGACATTAGAGTATCTTTTATTGGTACAATGATAACAAAGTATATCTACCCGACTACTGAAGTTCTTCAACCAGTTATAACTAAGATCTACGAACATACACACAAACGAATATTGAACAGTGAACTTGAAACTCCCGAAAGTGCTAGAACGTTATATGAACTAAATTATTTTTGTAAGTAAGTAGAACTTTACTATGCGTATGCGCCGGTTATCGCGCATGCGCCGTGGTCCCTACGGAAATTTCTCCCGTTTTATCAGTGTAAGGTGTAATGTTTGTGTTTTACGTAGGAACGTTACTGTGGTGTTTGTTTTTATTTTGATTATTTACTATTTATGTTATTTCACATCAATTTTACAGATAATCCTCTAATGTCCTAATGATAATATTAACATTGATGTCATTTTACACACATTATCGTACAATGGAAAAGCAATGTTTAGCACGAACAAACTTCGATGATAACCGCGTATTTTTAGCTTTATCTAATAGGTGTCAAAATAGTTTCCCCTGAGATATTTCTAAAATTATAAAGTATGCAGTGTCGCAGTTTACCTCTCTTGGTTTGTGTACCTAATCAACACATTTCTCAACGGATATTTACCTACAACAAAGTGTAATGATAAGAATGTGTTAAATCTATATGGAACAAAATAACGGACATCCAATGAACATGCGTAGGTAAATACTTTAGAAAGTTCTAGAAAAAGAATTTAAAAATAAAAAAAAATACAATCTATGAATTAACGTATAAAAGTACGACCAAAACATACTGCGTACAGACTGCATATTTGAATTAAGAACGATGTTCGAAAATTAAACGATAACTAACTACAATAGACAAATGTCAATTACGAATAGAAGTTTGAACCTACTGAATTCTCGCCAATATTATGAATCAAGCATAGTTATAGTTTGCATGCACAGATAATTGAAATTGCGAGTAGGTAGTGCAACGATCTCTGTGACCCGAACTACTTATCTGTCCATGCTCTGATCACTGTCTTGCGTAGAAAGATACTTCATGCTCTATGTCAAACGAAATGCTAAACTGTTTTGTCTTTGTTTAAAAAAAATTGACAATTTTTGTTTTAGATAACAAATCAGAATCAAACATAGTTTTTGCTTGTCCGTATTAGATTTTATCCACTAATTTAAACGTTTAAATAAATCTAAATAAATAATCTATCTATTATTGCTAATCCTTTTGTTTCGTGTCTAGATTTTAGATCGATTTATTTCCAAAACGATGTGATCGCTTATAGATAATGCTAGCTTTAGGGATCCAAAACAATTCGACATTTAGGTAAATTCTATTTTGTATTAACATTTACTTTTTCTTTTTGTTTTACCTTACTTGCTTCATTAATAACTATTCCTGAAACGTTTTTGTAGTCAGTAGAAAGTTGGTAGGTATTCTGTAACCTAGTCTCTTCTCAACTAATGTTTAGGTACCTACAGTATACGTAGGTATATTTTTAAGCAACCGTTCATTTCAGGAGAAAAAGAAAGCAATAAAAAGTTTGTTTACAGATCTAAATTCTTATGTACATTGACGTACCCACCCGCTAATAATGATAATGACGTCGCATTATACGATTATTATTATTATTGTTCATAACAACAAATGTTTGCGAAAACTTCTGAAATTATGGTACCTAATTAAAGTTTATACATATTGCACATTATATTGTTTATTATGAAAAATACGTACGAAATTTTGAACTTCGAACATGAATCATTAGTTTATGCTTAATGCAAACATGCGAATTCAAATTTCGAATTGATTCGATTTGACTCATAATATTGTCTCTGTTGTTACAGATATAAAAGGGAAATTAATTGAGAAATTGGTGCTAAAGTACACCTTAAAATACCTGGCCGAAGAGCTATAACCAATGAAGACTCCGAGCGCAGCATTCGGAGCACAATCGTCATCTGTACCGTGAACACCTGGCCCTACCATCACAATTTTGATGGTCACTCTCCCGCTGGAGAAAATTATCTACACGCACTGTCACTTCATTATTATTAAGTTTCTAAACATCTTCTTTATTTTGTAGTATATTTATCTATTCATTTTATTTCAACTTGTAATCAGTTTGAATAATGAGCAAGATTTTAAAAGTCGTAGGAGCCTCATGGCTCCAGACTAAGATTAGCTCCTACATCCTTGGGATTCTCGGCATTCTATCAATCTTGGCCCTGTTTGTCGGACAAATTGAAAGGTTAGTATAATAAAAGTTAATAACTATTGTAAATACAGGAAACTGTCTTAATCTCTCGACCAAGGAGAACAATCTCAGACTTGTAATTGCGTTGCAAATCAAACAAAATATCTTGTTTACTGCGCTGCAATTACTCTCCTTATCGGAATCTGAATGCCATCATTACGAAATTGCTTACTTTTTCGCATCATCTTTAACTTTGTATACAATTCTTTAACTCATTGTGTATTGATTTCAGAATTCAGGAAGATGGGAATTATGCAGCTACTGTGTTCTTTTCTAATAAAACTGGATATCGCATTGAGTACTGGGGACAGAGTAACGAACTGACTGACATTCCTCGAGGAGTAGCACGCGCATACTTTAGAATGGACATTGATACAACCGGGTAAGCACATGATACCACTCTATCTGATATTTAAACCAATTAGGGAATTATTAATAATACGGTAGTTTCCAACTAGTCAAATTCAATATTTTTATCCAAACGTCAAAAACGATACTTTTCTATGAAATTTGTATGAAAAACTAAGCTATGACGTCATAACATTTTTGCGTCAAATAGCTTACTTATTTCACAATATATAGCTAAAAAATCTAAAACTTGGTGTATCGATCGATCGATGAATAAAAGTATAGTTATTTTTCAATATTTTATAGTATTGAAACATCGAATTAATTTATTTTTGACCTAGGAAACTACCCAATTGCTTAAAAATGAGAACAAAGCCATAATATGAACAAATAAAAGATATTTCTACTTTAGATAAATTAGATATACAACCATTATAGCTTACCAACTTCATAGCTTTTGTATGTTTCTAATATTTTCTGCAAATGCCTTAATCCGAATTCTATTGTTTGTAGCTGGTCTCTCCTGGAAATTGAGACTGACCCGTCATATTCTGATGAACACCAAGCTTATGCAGCGGGCATTGTCGAAGGAGCTCTTACCTGGTCCTTGATCCACTCACACATAGAGAACACCATTACATCGAAGTGTGAGGAAGATTCATCTGTAATGAAACAGTGCAACAAGTTCAAGGACGCTCTCGACAAGTCGGTTGATATCTGGAAGGCGCATGCTGCAGAAAGAAGTGGAGAAGACCCGTTTTGGCATCATGTAAGTAGAATGTTTTATTTTTGAGCTGGAACCATCTGTACGTTGTGGCACTAATGGGCCGGATAGACCAGTGTGATACCATGCCCTTACAGAACATCGGTGTAAAGCAACAAAGCTTCGCCGATCACTTACCTATCATCAGGTAATCCGTCTGCTCGTTTGCAGAACTAAGTCAGAAAGCTGCATTATTAAAGTAATACAAACTGTTAATATTCAGAAATAATCGAGAAATTTAAATCAAATATCGTTAATAATGTTATGTTTACTTAATGGTTATTTATCCTCTATGCTAATATATTATCAACAAAATATTTTTCCTGTTAATTCTTCTGACAAACAATTATACAATACTAGTAATTTGCTTATGGGGAAACCTCCCGTACTATATCGAAATTTGCAAAGAGCTGTGATAGCACTACACTACACACTATACCATAAAAGTACTCCAAAAAACTGAAAGAATGGTTACTGGAGAAATTGTTGTAGGTAACTGTATAAAACATTTTGATTGTATCAAACAATTTTCTTGTTCTCAGGTATCTTTATACTACACCCAAATAAGCGGTATATTCACCGGCTGGAAGCATGGTGTTGATCGCAGTATGAAAGAATATGAAACCGACATCTCAGACTTGTATTGGCTAAACTCCGTATCAGAAGCAATAGAAATTCAACGCAAAATGAACATAACATTGGAAGATGAAGGTTTAGAAGCTATTCCTCATCCATCCAGTGCCTTTTTGAGAGTTGTTGATGATAAAACAAGTGATGGGACTCCCACTAAGAAGCTCTATGTTTCGCAAAATGCGGCTGGAAGGTAAGATTGCATTTGGTTTACTGATTGGTTCATTTTATCATTGGTGTACCTCTATTATACTATATCTAGCGGATGGATCAGATATTTGATTCTCGCGGAGTTGGTTAATATATTTTATTCTCCCTGACATCGTCAGCTGCCAATGTTGATAATGAAGTAGAAGTTTATTTCTGCAAAATCTCTCATACTTTCTTGAGAAGAAACTAAATTCGTTGAGTCAGTAACACAAAATAAAAATTGGCGTTTTATATGAGCCTAGCTTCAGCCGCGCGGTTTCAACCGCTGCTTGCCTCTTAATGGTCGTAGGGTGATGTTTTATAGCCTTAACCTCAAGAACATTCTAGGAATCTATGAGTGATAGAATTTTGGAAATCCGACCAGTGCGAGTGGTTCCAAAGATTACTTATACCTCTTTATAATATTAGTTTCAATTTAATCGTTTCTCATGGTTCTAAACAGTTGCTCAAAATGTTCTACTTCTCTAATATTGTTATTTTTACTAAGTTTTTTTGCTCAAACAACCGTTTTTATAATTTCAGCTATTCATCAATGACTCGAATCCTAAAGAAGTATAAATTAAACTACCACAAGACAGCTAAAGACGCGGATTTAGTTTCTGGGACATCAGTCCACTTCTCAGGATACCCGGGTTCCATCACTAGCCAAGACGAGTTCTACATCGTGAAGGGAGAAAACCACAGGTTGGCCGTCACTGGAACTGCTCTTCGAAACTATAATCCAAAACTGTGGAAGGAAGTTAATATTACTGAGCAAGTAAGTAATGTCTACAACCTACAGCTTTATATTAAATAATTAATTAATTACAACCTTAATATTGAATACGAGGGTAGGTAACTGTGCCTTGTACCTGCATACATTTATGTTTATTGTAATTTCTTTAACATCTTCTTAACTGACTAGACATGTCCTTAACAACAGACTAGAAATATAGAAATGACTTAGAGGGTTCGAGGAAAACAATTTCTCAAAATTTTGCCATAAACCCATACCTACATACGTTATACATTATGGTAGATTAGAAGTACTAAGATAAATCTAAACTGCTTAAAGAAAACGAAAGACCTACGAGGCAAAAATTATGCAGTAATTAACACCTAATTAAGTCCCTATTAATTCACTTAATGAACAAAGTGCATATATGATATGTACGTGCTATCTTTGCGACTGTCCTTTCTGACATTTACTTAACACCCGATATGTTATGTCCACACTCGTGCGCACGCGCATTGTTTATGCGGCGCCAGCGCACGCATGCAACAGCGCATGTTTAAAGCCATTATACTGAGATGAATAACGTGTGCTCTATTACACGCAAGCCCGTCTTTATTGACGACAATCATAATTTAAGTTAAACACACTGCACATGCACAATGTATTATTGTATAGTATACATACCTTAGTAAATAAAGTGTTTGAAAAATACGTTGTATTCACTGCAGATAAAATTGGCACCTAATAGTTATATACAAAAGGTACACTATAGATTTTTGTCATTATTGGAACGATGACCTACTATGACATCGTGACTTACTTGACTTAAGTTCCTATGGCCCCTAGATGGGGCAGAGGGCATCATAATGTTAGCTACAACTACTACAAGACGTCCACTCTGAACTAACAGAACACCTTCCAGATCTGCCGGTCGGAAACATTTTATTAGGTTCCGTGTAACTTTTCTAATTCTCTAATGATTTTTCTTAGGTACCTTTGGGTCCAAGAGTGTCAGCAGCTAATCATCTGGCGACTAACCTGAGCTCATGGGGTCACATTCTGGCGACCAGCAACTCTGGAACAGCGAGCAAACAATGGCTCATTGTAGACTTCAACCGATTCGACCATCTGCATGCATTAGCGCCACGCCCTGTGGTTACTGAACCTATCCGGAATGAAGTCGTCACTGAAAGCACTGTAGACAAGTAAGTTGTGATTATATTCTGGTTTTTTAGCTACCATTTTTTAACGCTGCCCCACATTTGGCTTTTCTCCTATGTCGCGGGTGCGTTTACAGACATAGATACAATTTCACATACACATCACACCCAGACCCGGATACAACAATTTGTTGATCACACAAAGAGTTGTTCCGCGCGGCAGCCAGTTGCCTAGCCACTGCGCCAACCGTCAGCAAATATTTTCCAATAATGACTAATCATTTTGCTGGTCTTACTGATACTGCTACCATGTTCACAGAAAAAGCATTTAAGGACTTCCGACTCTTTACTTTTTGCTCTTTAATGTCAGATGTCACGTTTTAATTCTTCGTTGTACTTTACAGGGACGTCAGGCACATAGTAGTGTACCGAAACAACAATGGCCACTCAAAGGGTCTGCTAGCACTGGTTGAACAAGTTCCAGGGCGCACACACTCCGCAGACCTGTCTGACGCTTTCTTGGAACAGGGCTACTGGGCTACGTATGGATTACCCTTCTTCAAAGTAAGTCTTATAAAGTATCTATCTTATATTTACTTACAGTAGCCGGCACCTAACTTGGCAAGAAGTTGGAGTAGTGGGGGAAAGTTCGCGCATCGTGCACTTAATGGAAATAAAAGTGGTCCCTTTTAGTGATTGTAATTGATGAAAATGAAAATGAAGGAAATTAATTCGTGATATTTATTAGGTGCTATAAATAAAATACCTAAATTAATTTAAAAGTAACGTTTAACCGTCTCTTTTTCAGTAAGAGTTTCTTTTGATATGTAACAATACACATCATAGACCATTTTTCTGGCCTTTCTACGTAAAATAACGTTTGATCTCGGCATTGAAATAACCAAAAGCAAAATTTTTTAAAAAAAAAAGCAACAACAATTCGTACCAATAACAACAACATATAACAAAAACGAAACAATAAACTTTAAACTTAACAAAAACAAAGAGATCAACTTTAGGGCACGCAAGTGTATTCGGGAGCGAACGAGACGTGGACACAGTGCGGGGGGGCAAGGGACTACTGACGCACCAATCACGCACTCGGCTCGGCGTTGTCACACACCCCGCGCCCCGCTTGCGTACCTGAGGCATCTAAAATATGACTTCTGCGCATTTAACGACTCTTGCCAAGTTACGTGCCGGGGTCTGTACAATACAACAGCGTCTTCACAGCGTTCGAATGATTGTGAGGGTTTAGGTCTGATCACCACGTATATGTAGATTAATTCTTGATTTTGAGTACATACCTTGTTGGCATTACCTATACCAATTATAGACTTTTTCAACTTAAAGAAAACTAATCCACCTTCTTAATTTATGTATTTTCAGGATATAGCAGAAATAACACACGTCAACAAAATGCAAGAACAGTACGGCAACATCTTTTCCGAAACGGAGTCACCTCGAGCGTTACTATTCAAGCGAGGTCATCAAAACGCCACGACATTAGACAGCATTATGTCGCTTATGAGACAGAATAACATGACTGAGGCAAATAGTACGACCCGTGATGATATTGATGATTGTGAAGATGTTGATGATGTTGGCTGTATACTTCGAGAGCGAGGCTACTGGTCGGTCGTAGGAGTTAGAGGGGACATCACCAGTTATTACAAAGAACCTTATGGGGTTATCGATACAAAAGTCGTCAGTGGTAAGCTGATTTTATTAATTTCTGGGAAAGAGAATGTTTTGAACCGATTGAATATTAGTTAACAGATTTATTTTATATTTGCAGGAGCCCTAAATGAGACAAACTTGGACTTCTTCGCGATATCCGGACCACCGTACACAGAAATCCAGCCCAACATAACTAACACACGTATAAACAAAGGTAACGTTGCACCAATCTACACAGAACTGATAAACAGCAAGAGTAACATGAGCGGAATTGAAATAAGGGACATGGTGATACATCAACAGGAGAAAGCAGCCGAAGACAAACTGGAACTTCTTAACAAAGACCTAATAAAACCTTTTGACTGGTCAGAAAGTGAATTCAAAAACGACACACATAACGGTCTACCTGACAGGTGGGCATTTAGCCCATACGCGCCTAAATGGTCGTGGTGAATCTCCAAGTCAATTTATCATATCGTTTTTCATAATAATTTGTTTTAATTTAATTTTAAGCCCCGAGTTCATCACTTCCAACTAGCAAATAAGATAATTGGGACTAAAATGTTAGTAACCCTTTTTTAAGTTTGACAAAGCAATATTTTGTTTTTTTATAGATTCGACGCCATTCCGTTTAGACTTCAATCAAAGGCTTAGATAAATTCTGTTCGTAGATAATTTTATTTCAATGTTTATGTTAAGATTATTTATTGGATTTATGTTCGTTCCGTTTGTGTTCGTTTGTATATTCGTCTTCTAAGTGTTTTAGGTACTGTTTCTGTGTCTAGATCAGAACTTTGGGTAACCACAAGGACTGTCGTGAATTGTTAAAAGAAATAATTATGTTTAAGTGTCAGTCTATATTTTGAATTTTAATGAAATGTATCAATTTGATTACAAAATCATTTCCAATCATTTTATCATTTTGACCATGAATATTTTCATAATAAATTATACTATTTTGATGAATTCACAAAATGGCGCTGTACTTTATTGATGTACTTACTTATCGAATGTTTATATTTTTATACATTATTTTTAAAATCTACTTACTGACTTTGTGAAACATCAAGCTGTGTCTTAAAATGTTCCATGTGCCTATTTATTGTGATGTTAATAAAAATGAAGTGACTTATACTATTGATTTTGCTCTCGAAAATAAACTTTTCCAACATAATATTCCTACGATTATTTTCTTATTTATTATCATAGTAATTTATAAGTAAATAATAGCCTTTTTCCATACTCCCCTAACAGAAGTTTGAAGTTTGAGATTTCTAACTCTCAAATACGAATGCAAGAACTTTTATTGCCTCACTCCGGTTCCGGTCCACTATCATCCTTGAATGTAGTGATTGCCCTTTTGGACACTTATGTACCGGATTTCTCTATATTCCAAAATCATATATATACACATCAAGGCATCTGATGGAAGCAGGTACAGGGTGACATCAATTGTTGAGCTGAATCCTGTTCTGGCCAAATACCCGAAGATGCAAGGTGCGTCTTCATCCGGTGCCAGAAGGGATGCAGAGGAGACCGTTGGGAACCTGAAAAGCACGCGCAGATAAGTACCTTCCTAACAGTATTAGATACTAGATATACTAGCAGTATTAGACGCACTGCTAACGCAAATACCGCTCAATTTTCTACTTATGTACTTACCTGTGCGTTTGTCCCATCACTTATCTAATAATTTTGAACTTTTAATTATCTCCATTAATATATTTGTAACCTCTGATCTTAAATATCAATTTCTTTCACTTGGCTTAAGGGTAGTTATATGTTTTAAAGTTCATTTATTTCGTTTTACCTCCTGTATATAATTTTGATATCTCACAACAACTTCTTTTGTTACTCTTAAATTTGTAAGTTATTTAAATTGTTTATAAACCGTCATTTTATAATTTATTAATTTTATTTTTTATTATTCTAAGTCAGTCGTCACGTTTTATTTTTGTTACTGATGACAGATTGACAATTGACGTTTCTCTTTAGCAAAGCAGCCTGTTTTCTATTACATTTTTTTTGCGTTTAGTTAAGTCTTATGAAATTTGTATTTGTTTTTGTTGCTTGTTACTTTTATCTTATCTCTTAAATCTTTACCAATTTATTTTAACTACATTATTGTGTTTAGTATGCAACTTTTACTGTTTGTTAAAGTTTCTTTCAGAATAATGTCTCTTGCTTGTTAGTGACGACTGCAGTTTGGTTTATTTTTGTTTGTTTTTTTTATTATTTTGAGTACGTTTTGATGCAACCGAGTTATAACTTTTTATCTTCTCTGTGTTTATGTAGATCGATGTTTTTTTTTTGTACCTATTGTTTTGACTTTTTATATCAACATGCCATGTTTCGTTCATATTTTTTTTTTCTGTGTTGATGTCGGCTGGTGGGTGGTGCAGGGTTGTACAACCTTTTTTAGGTCAAGCAAACTATTTTCGCGATATTTATAAATTCTTAGTTTCTAATAATTATTTATTCGCATACCTATATTATACCTATTTATATATTTGTTTATACATACATATATATATATATATTGGTGTCCATGTCTGATGACGATTCATTTTTAACAGCCAATTTATCTTCAGAAAACGATAGCTTTTGCTCGATTAGCGAGTCCTTGACTGATTTTATTCACAATACTTTTGTCGATAAAAATAACCGCTTGTTCAATGTCTGTCATATAAATGCACAAAGCATTCCAAGCCACCACAGCGAACTATTTGATACATTCAAAAACAGCAATGTCCACGCCATCCTGATATCTGAAACTTGGCTAAAACCAGCACTGCCGTCCACAACTTATGCTCTCCCAGGTTACGTCCTTATAAGGAATGACCGGACTGTTAGGAGAGGGGGTGGTGTGGGTATATACCTGCGCAGCGAGTTCACGTATAAGGTCCTCTTCGCTTCTCCTTCTGACTGTCCTGCGGAGTACCTTTTCCTTGAAGTTGGTAGCCAAGGGGGGAAAATTGTATTGGGTGTTACTTACTGTCCTCCTACCGTGGATTATTTCACCGACTTCGAATCGGTTCTTGAATCTTTGGGTTCTGAGTACACTCATCACATAATCATGGGCGATTTTAACACCAATCTCCTATCCCATGAATCCCATCGGTCCCGTAAACTCCTTCACATTATAGAATCAGCCAATTTCCATGTATTAGCTCTAAATCCCACCCACCACAACATCATGGGTGATGATTCTTGGCTGGATCTAATCCTTACCTCTAATCCTGCCCTTGTATCCTATCATGGTCAACATGACGCTCCAGGATTTTCTCACCATGACCTCATCTTCCTATCCTACATCCTAAAACCGCCCAGGGTCAGGCCTAAGGTTGTGTACAGGCGTTGTTTTGCGCGGGTGGATGAAGCAAAGTTGCAAAGGGATGCATCATTGATAGACTGGGAGCCTCTAATGGAGGCGACTGGGATCGATGAGAAAGTTACAATTTTTAACACAACTGTGACTAATTTGTATGACCACCACGCTCCCCTCAGGAAAGTAAGAATAAAGCGGCCGCCTGCCCCATGGATGACGCGGGGGATAAGGATGGCAATGCGGCGCCGAGACCGTGCTTTTCGTATGCATCGAAGGGATCGTACAGAAGAAAATTGGGCAGCTTATAAGATTGCAAGAAATAGGTGTAACCAGATGGTACGCAACGCTAAGCGCCGCCATGTTCTCGAAAATATCTCTAATTCCTCTTCCGCTGATATCTGGAAATTCCTTGGAACTCTAGGTATCGGCAAAGCGCAATATCCAGGCCTTCCCAACTCGATTGACTTAGATGATCTCAACAAACATTTCTCCACAGTCCCTCTTATGGATCATCTAGTCAAAAAACGCACTGTGGACTTTATTTCTGGTCTGATGCGTCCCAACATCTCTCATCCTTTTCTCTTCGTACCAGTTGAGTCGTCGGAGGTCCGTAAGATAATCCTATCCATCAAGTCCAAAGCGGTAGGTTGTGATAACATTTCTCGCCATATGATCTCTAATATCTTGGACCACCTCCTGCCAGCTTTAACTCACATCATAAATTATTCCCTCTTTTCCGGAACCTTCCCATCCCTGTGGCGTAATGCCTATGTCCGTCCTCTTCCGAAAGTCTCTGTCCCTACTATTCCCTCTCATTTTCGGCCTATATCTATACTCCCGTTCCTATCCAAAGTCCTTGAAGCCTGTGTACATAAGCAGCTATCCAGATTCATTTACATGAATGGGCTTATCAGCCCTCTACAATCTGGATTCAGGCCTGGGCATAGCACGGTTTCCGCTCTCCTTAAAGTGACTGGCGATATTAGAGCGGGCCTTGAGGACTCCAAGGCCACTATTCTGGTTTTGGTTGATTTTTCGAACGCTTTCAATATGGTCAGTCACGATATCCTTTTAGCAATCTTATCCCATCTTGCGATCTCTGGCAAATCACTGGAATGGTTCTCTTCCTATCTTCAGGAGCGTCAACAGTCCATTAAGCTTGATGAGGTTTCATCTAATTGGTGCAAATTGGAAACTGGCGTTCCTCAAGGCGGTATACTATCTCCTCTTTTATTTTCCATCTTCATTAATTTTATAACTTCCCAACTTCAGTGTGCGTACCATCTGTATGCTGATGACTTGCAGCTATACTGTCATGCTAATATTGATAGGCTGTCCGATGCAATAACGATGATCAATAATGACTTGGGTACCATTAAGGACTGGTCTGAAACGTTTGGCATAGCGGTGAATCCTCTTAAATGCCAAGCAATCGTCATAGGCAGCCCTCGTACTTTGAGCGGAATGGACCCAAATTTACCGAATATTGTCTTTGACAGTGCCACAATCCCACTTAGTAGTGAAGTTAAGGATCTGGGCCTGTACATTGACAGTCATTTGAAGTGGCATACTCATGTCGCTAGTGTATGTAAAAGGGTCACCGGATCCCTGCGGACACTGTATCGCCTGAAGAATTTGCTTCCGTCTGCTACGAAAGCAATGCTGGTGCAGGCCTTGGTTTTTCCTATTATAGATTATGCTGATGTTTGTTACTACGACCTGAATGCTGATCTACTCAATAAACTCGACCGACTTCTTAACAACTGCATTCGATTCGTTTTCAACCTGCGTAAATATGATCATGTTTCTGCACATCGGTTGCAATTGAAGTGGTTGCCCATACGCCAGCGCAGGGAGCAAAGGGCGCTAACCACTCTGTTCTCTTTCCTCAACTCACCTTGTTCGCCTAGCTATCTATCCTCTTACTTTCAATACTTGTGCGCAAACCACAGCAAAAATCTTCGTTCTTCCCATAACCGTCTTCTCCAATGTCCCACTCACCGCACTGATTTCCTCCACTCCTCCTTTTTTGTCCAGTCTGTCTTGCTGTGGAATGCGCTCCCCCCGGATGTCAGGATGGTGTCTAGTCGCTTGACTTTTAAACAAAAGGTTCGTGAGCTTTTATTGAAAGGTTTGGCTAAATCGTGACCACCATACATTATTATTAATAAGTATTAGTATATGTATGTATATAGTATATGTATGTATGTAGTATACTTATGTATGTATATAGTATATATATGTAGCAGTTATTTATTATTATATAATATAATTTGAGTATGAATGTAGGTATATGTTAGGGATATAGTAACTTGTACGTT